CTGTCCCTCCCATCTTGGGTTGGTAGTATTTGATTCAATTGGTGTTCGAACTGGCTTGCTGTGATGAGGAAACTGGGCCAGAGAGCGTCCTGGATGCACCACCATCTTAATGTAGGGATCGGGATTGAAAAATATTCCCTTCTTCAGATTGGTAGCTTCTACATCTACAGGAGAAAAAAAAAAATAACCAAATAAGAGTAAAAAAGGGGGGGAAATAAAGAATTATATGAGAAAAAAACTAAAAGGAGAAAAAATAGCATTATATTTCTCACTTGTTCTAGGATTTGAACCCTTCTTTTACAGATTAAGAAGGTAGAGATTAATGGAAAAGGTTCTCAATCCCAAGATTAACTTTTTCAGTAAATTTGTTCATTTATCTTTTGGGTAGGTCATGAAATTCAAAACTAAGATTCTTGTGGGCTTTATTTCACATTATGACTTGCTCCTAAATTATTTTACAATAAATTCTACCTACTCACTATGGACTAATTAAAGCATGCAAATATTTTAAGTCAGAGAATAATGACATGAATGGAACTCATCAAGTGTTTAAGCATCAGGAAATCTGTTTTCATGGAAGTTTTTTGTTAGTGAAGTTTTTTGTTTTTGAAGTGGTCTGAATTATGTAGAATATATATTTTTTTAATGTATACCTAACCACAGAATATAAATCAACATTGTACTTATGTTGCAAAAAAAAAAAAAAAAAAAAAAACTAAAAAAAACTTTATATTCAAGAAATTAAAGCAAGAATGATTATACAGAGTTGAAAATTGAATTTGCTATCATTGTTACCATTCTTACCAAAATATATAGAAAATATACGATTTTGTAGTAAAAGTTTAGAATCCATAATTGAATTTTTGAAGTTCTTCGTAGCCAGGAAATCTACATGAAAATTAATTTGTAGATTATAAGAACAATAAAACTTTCAAATTTGTAAAAAGCAGGCATTTGAGAGGAATATAAGAAATAATTTAGATTCTAAAAAAAAAAAAAAAAAATTCAGATTTCTAAAATTAATTCAACTCCTTACCTTTTTATCTTTCAATGTTCCATTAGGAGGTCCATAAAATTTATTATTAATGAAGATTTAAGATATTTACAGATAATATTGCATTAACTGCATAATGTAAAAATGTAGCATAGAAATGTGTTTAGTTCACCAAATAAATTCTATATTCTTTATAATGTTAAGTAACCTAAAATTCTCAAAAACCAATGCTCAATGAAAATACTGTATTCAAATAGTAAAATATATTTTTTAAATTTTTGGTTATTTCTGTACCAAAATTGTTACATTGAGTGCATGAAATATTGACGCACATTCCACAACAATTAGTGGACAGAAATTATCACATTTTTATTAAATATGAAGGAATTTCTTTTTAGACAAAAAAAAAAAAAAAAAATGTGAGGATATTCAGACATTGTGGTGATATTTACCAATGAACTTTCTGGAAAATTTAAATAAAATGCAAAGTTAAGAAAAAAATCATTTTAATTTAATTTTTCTATTCAAATTACTCAGAATTCTCATCAAACTTGTAATTGAAGTGGAGTCTCAAAATTGCTTTGTTTTCAGTCCACTACTCTACAACAAAGAAAAAGGCCCTATTTTTAGTTTAGAGTGCTAACTGTCAATGTTCACATATAATACCAAGTACTAAACAAAATTTTTAAGTACACTTGAGCAGTTTCATATTTGATGTCCAATTCAGGCAAAATAAGCTTTAATAATTCCTTATAACAACAAACTGTCAAATAATCATACACAGTTGCATCAAAAGATTAAGAATTTCTGGCACTACTTAAATTGAATGGTTAGCTCATTGAAAAAAGAAAAAAAAAAATCTAAATATTTTTTTAGATTAATATTCTTATGTAACATTTATCAGAATAAAATAAATATTGATTTTTAAAAAGTCATTTTAGAAGGTGGGGAGTGCTGTTCATAATATAAATACAGTGTTAAATCAATTAGACTTCTTAAAGAGTTATCTTTGTTTTTATTTACAAATGTCAATTTCTAAAGTGCCTACATAACTGCTATGTACTACTGATGTTGTCCCTTTTCCCAATTTGTATTAGTATGCAGTTATCAATGAGAGGCACACTTCGAAACTTAACAATTGTAAATAAAAACAAAGTACAGATAAGTTTTTAAGAGACTGATTTGACACTATATCATAAACAAGTCTCCACTTTTTTTTTTTTTTTTAAGCATTTCGCCCCTAGCAAGGCGGGAAGTCACTAGCACGCAAGGGGTTATAGAGGATGTGGAACGAGAGATAATAGGAATGATAGAGGAAAAGATGAGGAGAGGGATAGTGGATAGATCAAGGCAACTGGAGATGTCAATTGACATTACATTTGAATAGTTGGAGATTATAGCTATCAGGGAAACAGGAATAGGGAAGGGAGTTCCACAGGCGAGAGGTGCGAGATATGAAGCTACTGGAGTAGAAGAGGCGGCGACTACATTTAACAGTTTCAACAGTGAAAGGGTGTGAGCAGGATGCCAGCCTCGTAGGACGCTTGAATTTGCGAAGTCTGGGAACCAGTGAAAGCAGCTCATCGGAGCAATTACCATGAAAGTATTTGTAAAAAAGACAGAGAGAGGTGACGATGTGTCTGTGAGAGAGCGACTGCAAATGAGATGCCAGATCGGGGCAATTATATTGCATACCCGTCTCTGGATCTTATCAAGAACCCAGAGGTAAACAGTAGGGGCTCCAGACCATATATGGCAGCAATACTCCATGCAAGAATGAAGGGTTGATTTGTAGATCTGAAGGATCGATTCCAGGGAGAAAAATTTCCTGGCACGGCACAAGGAGCCAACTTTCCTTGCGGTGGACGAAGCAATTGACTCAATGTATTTGTTCCAACTCAGGTCAGTAGACACGGTGGGATCGAGCAGCCGCAGAGAGGTGCTCTCAGGAAGTTGAGCGTCAGACATTCTAATGGGGGGTAGGGAAGGATCTCTGTGGTGATTAATAGAGAGCAGTTTTGTTTTGGAGGCGTTAAAGTTAACCAGCCAATTACTACCCCAGTTCACAACCGATTGGAGGTCCTTTTCGAGACGAACGGCCAAGTTAGTTTTGTCAATGACACTAGATTTGTTTTTGTGTTGTCTGTGTAGATGCCTACTTGGGAGTCAATGGCATCCGGAAGATCGTTGATGAAGATAAGGAACAGAATAGAGTCTAGGATGGAGCCTTGGGGAACACCTGCATTTGTGGGATAAGAGCTGGAGGAGAATCCGTTGAGAATTCCCGGTTAGACAGAAATGATTGTATGAAGTCAAACAATTGACCTGTAATACCATAACCCTGGGGCTTGCGAACAAGGCCAGCATGCCAAACCCTATCAAACACTTTGGAGATGTCTAGGGCCACGGCACGAGCTTCTCCATTATTCTGAAGAGCTTGGCAGACAATTTCAGTGATGGCCATAAGCACATCAGCTGTAGATCAGGTAAAGCGGAAACCATATTGCCTGTCTGAGAGCAGATTATGGGATGTAAGATGGTTAACCACTTTGGCGTTGATTAGAAGACTTTTCCAAAAAGGGGAAGGAGACAGATATAACGGTAATTAGAAGGGTTAGAGGGGTCGCCGGATTTCTTAAAGATAGGAACAATCGATGAGGACTTCCAGCAGTCTGGAAAACAAGATTCCCTGAGGCAGTAAAAAAATAAAAATAAATAATAAAAAAAAAATTAAAAAATAATTTTATATTCCCACCTGACAAGTTCACTCCATATATCTGGGTTGAAAGCCAGAAAGGTATTCATTTGTATGCCACATGCCTTGGGCAAGTAGCCCTGATGAAGCCAATCCCTCTCCAAGTTAAATCATAGACATATCTACTAAACTGATTCTCCCATCAGGTTTTTTTCAAGAGAGAAAGATGACTGGACACAAAGTTTAAAAATAAAACCTTGTTGAGTCAAGCACAATCTAGCACAATGGAGTTGACCGAGCTCTATAGCTATATATGCAGCCAATGCAGTAATGACACAGCATCTACAGGTGGGAGGGTTTCATAGACTGAAGTCAGTAGCTAGGGTGGAGGGTACTCCTGATGGAATCAAATGGGTATATGTCCATGACCAAGTTGGAAGATATTGACTGCAGTTGATGTTATTAAATGCAAGCAAATAATATTATAAATGAATTGTTAGATAAAACAAGATAAAATTATTAGAGCAAAAATTTCAAAAGACACAAACTGGTTTAGGATTTAAGAGCTGAATAAAAGGCACAAAAACAAAAATAACTAGAAGTATTTACATGCCTTGTAAAGTAATGGGCACGTGGCCGAGTGGTTAGAATGTTCACATTCTGACAATGAGACCAGAGTTCAAATCTCACCAGGGTCAAATTGTCAGGAAGGAGACTTCCTGATGTTATTGGACTGATGGGGTTGATCCCAGCATGCGGCATTTTTGGAAAGTATCTGAAAACCACAGGTTGACCTAAGGCTTGTGGGTGAAATTGGGTAGACGGAACCCTTGGGCACTATTGATAGCTGTGCTAGCACAAAGTCACAAGTTTCTCTTCCAAAAACTGTAACTATGGTCTGCTCAGCATAGTTGCAGTATAAACTATATGTGGGCTCTGTGGGTGTTGAATAAACACAAATGCGCATGAGGGATTGGCTAGCTACTGTAGTAGACAGGTATCCTCAAATACAAGTGGCCAGCTATACATACATACATACAAAGTAATCATGATTCATTTAATATATCAGTCTACATTTCAATGATTTTTCTATATTTGCAAAAGTCACTACTTCTATCCCATAAACATTAACAATATTTGCATTCAAATTTCCTTCACTAAATATAAATATCTCTGTCCCATAACACTTTAACATTCAGTGCATGTAAAAGAGGTACATCTTTTGTCCTAGAATATTTCTTACAGTTGGGATATAAAATCTGAATTCATATAACTATTATGGGACAGAGATAGTATTATATTTTAAAACATTAGATAAAAACATTTGATATTTCCACTGTCTCTTACTTAATTCTAAAGCTAATATTTTTCAAGAACAAAGATTTTTTTTTCAATTGACATCTGTAAAATATTATTCCAATCTTAAATTAAGCAATTAACCAGTTATGCTATTTTTTCATCAACAATGTTACCATTTTCGACTGAGTATCCCAAAATATGTTTTGTGATGCCAACAAACACTCATTGCCACTTTTGTAATGTCAACAAATACTAGTTATCACTTTTGTAATGCTTGTTGTAGTAGAGACTTTGTAATCGCAGATATGGCTATAGTAATGCCGTTGAACAATACTGGTGTCAGACACCTTCGAATAACACTTGCATTAATAGTACTTGCTCGATAATACTCACTCGAGTAGTAACCAGCGAATAGTGATCCCAATAGTAATCTGAATAGTGATCATTTAGACACCATGTTAATTCCCATATATACACTTCCTTTACCATCATGTGAGCTACTTATTCAAAATGCAATCACCTGTGTTTGCTCTCTGGTGATCTGTGTTCAAACTCCAGTGTCAGCAGTGACACTTTATTCTTATATAACAATATGCAAAGAGAAGAAGGCAACAAAAAGAATTTGTTCAAGTGGAGAACACTATGTAAGCTGGCATAATGAAAACACACAACAACTACAAACAAATGAGAGAAGTCAATAAAATACATTTCTGTAATCCAGTCTCTTGTTTCCAAATGTTTTTAGGCACTGACCCTGAACACAGAATATTTTGGCCAAAGTGAAAAAAATTTCAGCAGTTCTTCATTTAGTTTTAGTCAATAAATTTTAAATGAATAATCAATAAATCTTCATATTTCTCATATTGATCAAAGAAACTGAAAGCCACAACTTCATGTAAAGGTATCACATTCTTACTATAATATATCAGTTATGAAAACAATAAAACAAGAGGAGTAAGAAAAAAAAAATGATACAATGACTGCATGAGACAGGCCCCAACTACTTTGCTATATAAATATAGTTGATGGTTGCAAATAAACAAGAGCATGTCAGGAGTTTATATACATTTATTGATGTTTTATTATTTGTAATTATTTTCCTATTCTAGAATCTCAATGACACTTTATATTACAAAAACTGTGATATAAATATATTTATTTATTTTTGACATTTACTTAGCCTTTTTGTTACCTAAAATGTCCTGCAACCCTTAGGAGCATCTATGTGACCCTCATTGGGTCACATCTCTGGCTTAGTGAATCATTGCTGTAGATAGATCAAGTTTTTAACCACCTCCTCCTGCACTGGGATACTAACTTACAATGACCAAACATTAAACTGCCAACAAATGTTGACCAATGATACAAATTTACTACAGCCATTACACAAAAGCAATATTTGTTGGTTGGTTGATTTGTTTTCTACAGCTTATCAACATTTTGTAGGTTATTTAAAGCCAGAAAATATTTTTAGATTATAAGAATTTTTTTGCGGGGGGGATAATAATGGTTAAGTAATACAAGTCTTACTAATTAACCCAATATTGGATGGGGAGAAGAGTTTGATTCATACTTTACCAAGAGTATTTGCATATAAGTGAACATAATGAATTCAACGGATATTGGAACTTGGCTCTCCAATTAACAATTCCGTTCTATTATCCATCACACTACCCACACATCCAAGCTTACAGCATCTGGTAGTTCAAGTGGTCACCAGCAATATTTCTTTTTACCCTTAGAACCTGGTATTTTAAAATGCTTCTTTTATAACAAACATGCTGATTAACTTAAGAATTAGAATTCTTCAGAAAATTAAAATGGCAAAACCTTTAAATTATTACAGGTACTACTCGTAATTAATAATCAAGTAGAAACTGGACTAATGTAGTTAACACATTACAAAATATTTATCTATTAAAAGCATATTTTCATGAAATCAAATCTATTTTGAATTAGATCTCTTAAGCTGTAATACATCAAAGATAATCTCAAAATTAATCACTGAATATTAAATCTAACCTTCATTCATAACATTTTGGTTAGTCAAATAATCCATGTTAGACAAATTTCAATTCTATTTGATTTTAAATATTTTTTCTTGCAGATTTTTTAAACAAAATTCTGCCACAGTTATAAATAACAGAAAATAGATTTGTTCTTTCCAAGTTTATTCTATTAAGTAGATAAAGAAATAAGACAACAAACCTGACACGACAATTTTCAGGCGTTGCTGCATTTCATTGGATAAGTTGCCATTTTTATCACTCTACAATTAAGAAAGTAGAGAAAGAAAACGTCATTTACACACGGAAACAAAAGGAAAGAGTCCCTTACACACGGAAACAAAAGGAAAGAGTCCTTTACACACGGAAACAAAAAAATTATTTACATGCATGAAAGAAAAAAAAAATAAAATAAAACAATTTTTTTTACAAGGTTAAGTCTGGCTCATATTCATTTTGCATTTCTGCCTTTGAGAAAGGCAAGATTCCAATGCCAGACAGCTTGAAAAAATGTCTTAACACTAGCATGCCACAACAGCGAACTAGCTTATTGCTCAAGTAAGAGTAGCAATAAAAAGATGTTACTCTCATTGTTGACCTTGTTCGAGTCTTATGAGATGAAGATGAATACATGCAGGCATTTAATTTTACTCAAAACATGAGAATTTAAATACACACTGACTTTTACTGGTATTACTAAATAGCAAATTTAAACTAACCCATATAGATAAGTACCAGCATGTCCACTAATACACTTATTTTATGTATGAATATGTCCAAACATTATATATGAAGCATAAACATGCCAATTTGTACATAAAAAACACCATGAACCTCTGTGTGTGTGTGTGTGTGTGTGTGTGTGTGTGTGTGTGTGTGCTTCCATGTATAATGGAGTGGTTAAAATGTTCATTTTCCAACCATGAAAAACCAGGTTCAAATCTCACTATAGTTGATTTGTTAGGAAGGTGACTTCTTTGTTATTGGCCTGAGGTGACAATTCTCATGTGTGACACCTTTAAAAAGGTGACTGAAAACCATACCATAGGTTGACCCAAGTCTTGTGAGTGAAATTGGGTCAACTTCATTGCTCAAAAGGACATTGATGGTTGTGATAGCACCAAGGTACAAATCATTGTGATTGATGGTTTTAATTTACTTGACCATTGATCACAATAGATGATGTGCATGTTCTCTCTCCTCAGAAACTCAAAGATCTACTTAGCATAGTTGCAGTATAAACCATGTGTGAGCTCTGTGAGTGCTGAACAACAACAAATTTACCCGTGCAGGCATTTTTAAAAAGGATTGGTTTGTTGTCCTGGCAGAGGAGTGTAGTCGGAAACAAGTAGGCGTGCATTATTTTATTTATATTTATATATATATATGTGTGTGTGTGTGTGTGTAAGGAAAATTAATGATGAAGAGGGAAAAATTTTTGTATCATTCATTTTGTCCTTCATTAAAATACTGATGTTTACATCAATATAACTACACATACGTATGAAGCTGTGCTGAAATTTTAAACAATCGTTTTTTTTTTCCCTTTTTGGATGTGTTTGGACAGTCAATTTCATTTACTTTTTTTTTTTTTATCACTTTTCTTATTAAGTATCTCACATCTGAAATCTTGAAAGAAAAAAAAAAAAAAAAAAAAAAATCAAATACAAATTTACTGTGGGTGATTTATTACTTGCTATACACCTTCGTTATAGTAAATTGCTTTCTCTTTTAATTAAAGTAGAATTTTTGTAAAATCAAAATTATGGACAGACTCATTACAATGACCAATTAATGCATTGAATCTCGTTTTGTAAAAGATCTTTTGTGTTCATATAATCTTTTATTTAAATTCCTCGAGGTTTCTCCTATGTATTGCATGTGACAATTATTACAGGTGAGAGTAAATTTCACCAAGTTTTAGCTTATTATTTTGTTTTGTATTAAGTCTTATCGTTTTAAAAGTAATTGTAAAAATTTTATGTTAAGCTTAGATAAATTCTTTTTAATTATAGCTGTGATAGAGTTTAGTAGGTAGAATATATTTTGATTTATTAGTTTAGTCAGAATGGTTCACTCTTCCATTTTGAAATATTTAACAAGCTTTTGGTTTTGTGTTGAATATGAAATAATTAGAATATTGAAAGAGTGTAAATGTATTTTCAATGTATTTCTCTTCTTCATGTAGATACAAATTCTGAGAACTTTTAAATAGAATCCAATAATTCCTCCAGACTTTATTTTGTTGTTATGATGAGAATAGAAATTTAAGATCATTTTTATTAGCTCCTTTGTGACAGACATTTAATTTTAAGTCATTGTCTATATATGGTGTAACAATATCTAGGAAAGGTAAAGTGTTACATGAAGTTCTAAAGGATGAAACATGCAACACAAAGTTTTACCCACTTTGTCATTAATTTTTCTTCCATTGTTTTGGTATATAAAAAAGTACATATTTTCCTATATATATATATATATATATATATATATATATATATATATATATATATATATATATAAATGTATTTATTAATCAAACAGATTTGTATCACTTTAAATATTATTAGTGGATATTTGTATTTGAGTATATGGTATATTTATATTCACCTATTAGCCTGATATTTTGAGAAATCTTATTAAAGAAAAATTTATACTCTTTGGCAGGAATCAAACATGCATCCGTCATAGACAGAGGCACTGTTTAACCTGATACACCTATTCCATTTTGACCAGAGACAGATGCTCAGGCAAAGCCAAATCTGATGCTTTCAAGTGAGATTTTTCTAGTCAATGATCTCTCAAAGTTTTTAATATCTGCACACAGTTTTGTATCCAAATGTAAACAAAGAGAATGGATTTATTAATCTGATAGAATGCAGGTTCAATTCATGCTGAAGAGCAAAATCTTTTGTCTATTAAGATTTCTTGAAACTTCAGGCTGGTAGATGAATATAAATAAATATAATGTTTAATATATAAACAGAGTATTTACTCAAATATGGGTATCCACTAAAATACCATTTAAAGTGATTATATATATATATATATATATATATATATATATATATATATATATATATATATATATAATAGGTATGTCCCAATCCATATAAATACAGCAGAATACACTGTATGTGGTAGTCACTTGGATTAATTGGAATTCACCTTGATTTACTTCTAGCTCACCACTAGCAGTTGATTACTTACTACACACCGTTGGTGAATCTTGTAATGTCATTTCTGTTATAAATATTATCGTTCCATTTCTAACCTTTGTTATGGTTATTCTTATTCAGTAACCTTTTCCCTAGGTTACAACAACACATAGAGGGTGCATTAAAATACTTGTACAAACTTTGGGTGCAGTTTTCTGACACCAAAACAAGGTAAAATGTCCGTATATACATATACCCAAAAGGCTATTGTTGTACCTCAACACAGCAACTCATAACAAATATTCAAAATGTCCTCCACCTGCTAAACAAACATGCACCTGTTGCATCATTAACTAGCAAACCCTTTCAAATACTCTCACATGGTGTTGAATGATTTCGCAGGTTACATTGTTTAGGTGTGAGGAACCCGCCCCCAAAGTTTGTAAAAGTATTTTTGATACACCACATATATACACACACACACACATATATATATATATATATATACACACACACACACACACACACACACACAAAACCTAAAACAGAAAGCTTTGCCTTGATATGATAGCAAAAATACTTGTAATCCAATTCTTATTGTCAAAATGATGAATTTATTTTGACAAAAATACTAAAAATGTTTCCCTCTCTCATAAAAATAACTTAAGAGCAACTCTTTTTGATATGAAATTTAAAGAGAAAAAAAAATAGTTACCCTAATTGATGCCCGGGGATTCCGTACAATAGCAGAAGGTGTACAAGCAATTTCTTCTCCAGAACTGCCTTGAAAGTATTTGAAACAGATTCTGGTAATAGCTGCAAGAAATGAAGAAATAAAAAGATTTATTATAAAAGGACTCAATTTTTCAAGAACATCACAGATTTAGTTAAACTTTAAAAAGATTTTATGACTAATACTATTTTTCCAAAGTGATTGTAAATGTGGAAAAAAACGTATTTATTTGACCTAACACAAAAGTAATTTGAATGCTGATAAATAAAAGCCTATAAAGATTTATTTCTGCTGTTAGTAACAAAATTTATTATACAGGTTGCAGGATATTGACAGACAGGAACAGACTCACACACACACACACACACACACACAGGCAGCAGGATAATTAACAAAGAATTCTTAAGGAAAATGGAAACAAAAACACTTGTACTTAGAATCAGAAATAGACAGCTGAAATTTCTTGGACACATAGTGAAGGAGGGGGGCTTGGAGAAATCAGCACTCACAGGACATATTGCAGGCAAAAAGGGGAGGAGGAGGCAGATAGCCACCGATCTGACCAGGTTGTATGAATAGATGAGAGGGTGGGGGTATGACAAAAGACAAATGTTACTAAAAGTTACAAGGAACAGAAGTTGTGGAGAGCCATGATCACCCACATCATGAAGGGACACATGAAGGAATTGTTTTTAAATTTGAACACCTCCAAAACAAAACTTTAACCATCATAGTAAATCTTCTCTGCCTGCCATCAGCAGAGCTGATGCTAACTTCCAAGAGGCCAACTCTTTGTGATTTCTTGAGCTCACGTTTTCCACCGACATGAAGTGGAATGATTATATTGAATGAATTGCTTGGAAAGTTTGTTCACTATCTCATGCCAAACAATTTTTTTTGTTAGAATTCATCTTGCAGATTTATAAATCTATTATTCATCAATGCAGTGAATGTTGTTGCCATATCTGGTCCGGTGCTCTTGCTATATATGTCAAGATTCGTAACAAAATTCAAAGAAGGGTCTGTAATTTAATCAATTTTGGTTTGGATTAGTTTAGTTTACGGCATATCAACCTCAATGGGTTATTTAATGACAATAAAATTTTTATTGCTGGTAAATTTTTTTTTTTTTTTTCAAAAAATGAATTGCTGGTGTTTTTTCTTCAAAAATCTATTGCCGATATTTTTCCAAAAATGTATTGTTGGTAGTATTTTTTCAAAAGCTGATAATCTAATTGATCCTAATTTGGCAACTTGACTTCAGTCACTTTCTCACTGACATGATGTGACTTACTGCTGTCTTTTCTACAAATATTTTCATGGCAATTCTTCTGATGAGCTTTCCACCTTAGTGCCTAGACTACATGAATTTAAGTGTACTACTAGATTGGTTGAGTGGTTAGAAAATTCACATTCTGACCATGAAACCTGGGTTCGAATCTCACCATGGCTGATTTGTCAGGAAGGAGACTTCCTGATGTTATCGGACTGGAGGGGTCAATCCCAGCATGCAGCACCTTTGGGAAGTGCCTGAAAATCATACCACGGGTTGACCCAAGCCTTGTGAGTGAAATTGGGTAGATGGAACACTTGGGGGGGCCATCGATAGCTGTGCTAGCACGAAGTCAAGTCATCTTGGCTGAGGACTTGAGCATGCTGGCCTTATTCAAATTGTCGATCATGCTAGATAACACTCTCTTTCCTAAAAACTGTAACTAAGATCTGCTCAGCATAGTTGCAGTATAAACCACAGGTGGGCTGTGTGTGTGTTGAATAAACCCAAATACACCTGAGCAAGCATCTGCAATAGGGATTGGCTAGCTGCCCTAGTAGATGGGTATTCTCAAATACAAGTGGCCAGCTGTATTAAATTGGCAACTACATCTGTTTTACTGTTGAACTAGATAGAAGCAACTGTATGTTCTACTTTAATATTTCCTTTTCTCACACTTCTTGCCTGTGGAATTCCCTATTTCTTGCTTCCCTGCCACCTACAATCTTAAAAAATTTAAATGCAACACCAATTGCCATCCTCCATCTTCTTGAATCCTGTTCTTTTATTGTCCCTTCTCACTAAAATCTCTTCATTCTCTTTCAATCCCAGTAATTTCTTGTGCCCTAGTGGCATTATTAACTTGCTAGAGGTGAAATGATTGGAAAAAAAGTAAATTTGTGTGGTCTGAGTTATATGCTCTTTATGGATAAGTTTTTCAGATATGGTGTTTTTGAAGATACCTGTATATCTTAAATTGCTCTGTAATTTGGTTATTTCAATTTGCATTGAGCACTTTTTATTCATATAACTGGTTTTTTGTTATAAATATTCAATTTATCATCTTGTTTTTTTTTAAATTTTTTTTTAATGTCTCAGTAAACATCCCTGTTAAAAAGAAAAATGGTAACTGATGCCCTACTGGCCTGAGCAATCAAAAGTCTTAATACTGAAAATGTACTTCTTGGCAGTGATTGTATCTGCATTCTGCTTTCACTGATAAACCCACTTTTGAACTAGGTGTGCTTTGAACTAATCAGTTACAAGACACTTCACAGCCAAGCAAATACAACATTTATCGTAATTAGAAATTATGTCGGATTAAAAAAATCCATTAATTTAGAAATTACTTTGGTTACATTTCAGGTATGAAAATAAAAGTTAGCAAATATAAACTTAAAGTCCAAATGCATTTCTTAAATAGGGTAACTGAGCCTTGCTTTGCTGTGTGACCTCACAGCTTAATAATAATTGGCAAATGTATTTAAAGACTCCTGTATGAAACCTAATAATAGTAAGTGTTGAACAAAATACACCATTATCTTTGTTGCATAGATAAACTAGTATTAATAGAATATTCTACTGGACATAAAGTGGGTGATCAGTTTTCTATAGTTATTAAGTAATAAACTGATCACTCAAAAATTACTTAAGAGTTGAACATAAAATAGGGGATCAGTGGGGGTGGGGGAGAAGAAAAGGATTCATACCTTTCCCAAGGATTCAACTGGAATTCGAACTCCACTCTCCAATTCCTCAATCCACACAGCTATCTATTACTCCACCATGACATGGGTAAACATGGGTTAATAGAAGATTCTACTGGACATAAAGTGGGGGATTAGTTTTCTTTTGTTATTCAGTAATAAAATGATTCCATGGCCTGAACAAAATATACTGCCATTGTTTATGATAGCATGGGTAAACTAGTACAAGTGTGTGTGTGTGTGAGCGTGCGCACACACGCGTGTCTCACACACATTCCTGCTAAAATTTTCATAATTTAAAAATCAATAAAATGTATAAAAATAAAAATCAATTTAGCTTTGAGATACCTCGCAGGAAAAATAGTAAACTTGTTCTATATTTGAACATATTTTGATCGCATTTTATCAAACAGAAGATTTTACTGAGGCAATGTTGTTTAAGAAAGAGTTACTGAATAATTTTGCTAAAATTCTATGAGAGGGTGCCAAAATGTGCTTGGCCTGACCCACTTCCGAATATCAGTCTTCTCATGTTTGGCCATTGAAAGACTTTTTACTACATAATTGTAAGTATGAACATATACATTATTTCAAAAAATGAGCACACCCATCATTGTTGGTGACACAGATCAGGGCTGGCTTTATGCCACTTGAACCCATTGCTCTAAATGGGCTTAAGACCCAGGTAATCGACTCATCTTGTCAAATACAAACAATACATTGCAACTTACAACTAACACCAGGTTTTCCAGAGAACAGCAGCAATTTTGATTTTTTTGTTTTTAATTCTAAAAAGTCAATTGTCTTGGTTTACACATTTTTTTTTAATTGTACTTTGATTAAATAATATGTTCTCTGTGAAAGAAAAGACAAATATGTACAAGGGGGTGCAGAGAAATTTTCAGCATAGACCATTTCTCAAGTTCTGAATAAATTATCAAACATCATTTATTTTTTGAAAAGCTTTTTGATTGGGTTGAAAACTTTTCAGTACCCACCCTTGTAAATATGTGTGAAACAAATTCTAAGATCTTGGCTATAAACTTGGAATCCAAGTAGAAAATGTTTCAAAATAGGTTTTTGAAACTCTTAAGTCTGGCTCTGCTAAGGATTAAGGAAAAGGACAAGACTCACTTTAAAAAGAAAATCAGTAAGCTAATTAGAAGTATGATAAGCTAATTATAACACTAAACATATGGTTGGTAAGTGTATAGCTTTAAAACTCAGAATTCTATACTTCATATAAAAAAGATAAAATGCCTAACTTTAACATCAATATCATTTTTGTAGTAAGTCCCTGAATAGAATGAGCTGCATACAAACATAGTAAGACTAACAATATTTCACCATGCTTATCTCCATATACAAGCAAATGACTTATTGAATAACAACTAACCCACTGACTATTCCTTTATATAAACTGAACGATTTCTAAAGTTTACATATGAATACTGTTGTTTACCTCTGTATAGCTGTGCAATATTCTACAAGCTAAAAAAAAAATTAAATGAAGTTGTATTAAAAAAAAAAAAGTATAATAATAATAAAGATATCATGCCTGCTTTTATCTTTCTTTTGTTTACTCTTTTCAAATTTTTCTCTAGCATTTTTTTTATTTTTTTTTTATTTACCCGCATATCCATTGGATGTGTGGGTGGCACAATGGATAGCAACCCAGAATGAGAAATCTGAGAGCCAAGTTTGAATTCCAGTCATTACATTCACTTATGTGAAAATACCTTTGGGAAAGCTATGAATTCACCTCTTTTCCCTCTCTCAAGCTATAGGTTATACTGGAACATAATGAGCTTATAAATGTCTAAGATAGATTCTGCCGAGAAATTGTCTAGCATGACACAGTAAACCAATTTTCCTAGTAGCAGACCTAGCAATTGATTCAATATAATGTTCCCACTTCATGTCAGTTGAAAACATTAGTAAGGAAGAGCAATTCTTAAGTCTACATAGAAGCTATTTGGATATCCCTGCTCCTTCTCTTGGAGGTTTGCATCAGCCATGCCAGGAAGGCAAAAAACAGGTCTCTAAGAAGATTAAAAGAGAACAGTTTTGTTTTCGAAGAATTAAACTATTTTTTGTCCCAGCT